ATTTTTTGTAGGGCCAGTCTAGAGGATATGAGCTCTCTCAGCTTTTGTTTGTCTGGGAATGTTTTAATTTTACCCTCATTCTTTAAGGATAGTTTTGCTGGGTATAGTATTCTTGGTTGACAGGTTTTTGTTTTTCTTTCAGTACTTTAAATATATCATTCCATTGCATTCTGGCTGCTAAGGTCTCTGAGGAAAAACTGACATTTAATCTCATTGGGGATCCTTTGTATGTGACTGTTTGCTTCTCTCTCACTGCTTTCAGGATTCTCTCTTTATCTTTAATTTTTGAGAGCCTAACTGTGATGTGTCTTGGTGTAGATCTCTTTGGGTTTATCCTACTTAGAGTTCTTTGAGCTTCTGGGATTTGTAGATTCATGTCCTTCATTATATTGGAGAAGTTTTCTGTCATTGTTTCTTCAAGTACTCCTTCTGTCCCTTTCTCTCTCTCATCTCCTTCTGGAATTCCCGTGCTGCATATATTAGGTCTCTTGTTATTGTCCCATAATTCTATTAAACTGTGCTCAGCCTTCTTGAGCCCCCGTTCTTGTTGCTCTTTAGCATCTGATTTTAACTCTCTTATCCTCTAATTCACTGATTCTTTCTTCTGCGTAATTAAGTCTATTGGTAAATCCTTCTATTGTGTTTCTCATTTCAGTTATTGTCTCTTTCAGTTGCAATATCTTTTTTTTAGATCCTCATTTGTTCTTGCATTGTTTTCCTTATTTCTTTCAGCTCTTTGTCTACATTTTCCTTTAGTTCTTTAATTATGTCTGATGTTGTATTACATTCTTTCCTTTTTTTCATTATTTGGTTATCCCTGTATGCACTTTTACTCTCTTTGTCATGTTCATTTGGATGGGCCATTGTTTCTCTGTTCTTTGTGTGTCTTGTAATTTTTCGTTGCCAGTTTTTTGGCATTAGAATTTTTGAGGGTGTTAATGTTCTCAGTTTTCTCCAGTATTTAGTGTTTTGGTCTACAGTACTTTCTTCAAGAAACTCTTATGTGGGCAAAGCCTTCAGCCTTTGCTTACCATTTCCTCTCCCTCTCTGTGATAGCTCCTTCTCCTTCCCTGGTTTAATTAGGATTTGAAAGTTCCAGATCTTGATTTTCAGCTTTCAGTCTCCCAAACACACCAGGGAACACACTGTGGTCAGTCTGTCCACCAGCGAGCACCTCCACTCAGGTGAGATACCGTGTGCTAATCAGTCTGTCCAACCAGGGCAGCCCCCTGTCTCTGGTTATTACTCCCTTCCCTTCTCTTTTTCTCCCATCACGGTTTTAGTCAGAAAACTCACACCCAGTGAGCTCCCTTTGGGGCTGGGTGTTGCCCTCCAGTTTTGCCAAGGCTTCCCTCCGTGCTCTGTGGGTACTACTTATAGCTGAGCTGGCATTCAGGGGAAACACAGGCACACTTTCTTCCATTTCAGGAGGAGGAGAGACTGGCACTCCCCAGAAGGGCCTCTGAGAGATCTGTCTTGTTGGTTTCAGAGCCCCAGTGGCCCTGTAGTGGTTGAGCAATCAGTCACCACTTAGGTAATCCACCTCCTGACTCCACTATAGGAAACCTTCTGTAGGAGTTTGTATCAGTCCAGCAGCTGTCAGTTGCCAGTTGGGGAAGGGGTAGTCACACTCCAAACGAACCCCCAGGGAGGTCTGTCTGATTGCTTTCGGAGCCCACACTGTAGTATGTTGTCTGTGGTTGTAGCCTCCGCTCAGGATGCCTACTCCTAGCACACAGCAGCCTCAGTCAACACCCCTCAGTGCCCCAAACTGATTCCTAGGGAGGTCTGTCCTATTGGTTTTAGAGGCCTGAGTTATGAAGTGCACAGGGGAGCAGGTAAAGTGCTGGCTATAGGAGCAGACACCACTGTGGGGGCCTTTTGTAGCAGTTTGCAACAGCCTGGCAACCAACAGTTAACAGGTGGAGGAGGGTGTGTCACACTATGGTCAGATCCACATGGAAAGGTATGCCTTACTGCTACCAGAGTCCCCCCGATAGATTGTTGCTGTGAGTGCAGCCTCTACTGAAGTCTCCCATTTCCTAACACACAACAGCCTTAGTCAGAAGTCCTCAGCATCAACCAGAAGTAGGGGCAGAATAACCCTAACTGACCCCCAGGGAGGATTGTTGGTTTCAGAGGCCAGATTTATGGGGTATGCAGGGAGGCAGGTAGAGTGCTGACTATGATAGCAGACTCCACTACAGGAGCCTTCTTTAGAAATTCACAGCAGGCTTGCAGGTGACAGTGTCTGGGTGGGGAAGGGGTTGTCATGCTCCAAATGGACCTCCAGGAGGTCTGCTTTGTTGCTGTCAGAGCCCTCCCTGTAGTATGTTGGCTGTGGGTGTAGCCTCCACTAAGGATGCCTGCTTCCTAGTACACAGCAGCCTCAATCAACAGTCCTCAGCACTGACTGAAAGTGGGAGCAGACAGACCTGAACTGACTCCCCAGGAGGTCTGTCCTGTTGGTTTCAGAGGCCTGAGCTATGGGGTGCACAGGGAAGCAGGTATTTACTATGGGAGCAGACTCCACTGCACTGGCCTTCTGTAGCAATTTGTAGTAGGCTTGCAGCCAATAATGTCTGGGTGGGGGAGGTGCTGGTACATTTCAAATGGACCCCTGAGGAGGTCTGGCTTGTTGATTTAGAGCAGAAGCTTGGTGTCCTGTCTCTTTGTACAGGCAAAGGCTGTGATGGTTAGGTGAGCAGGCTGAGGAGAGGGTCAGGAATGGTGGGAGAAGCGATTTCCCTACCATGCGTGACTTGTTGATTTGTTGATTCTTGCCTGTCTGCAATTTCTCGCTGCTTCCTCTGTGCCCTAATTCAGAGTCCCTCAAATCTGAGCACCATTTCCTTGTTGTGTTTCTTATGTTTGTAGAGGAGAGTCGGAACAGTGGTCTGTTTATGCTGCCATCTTCCCAGAATCCTCAGCTGAATTTTTTTTTAAAGATTTAAATAATAAGAAAAGAAGTCTTATGTATTTGCCCGTGTGTTTACCATTTCCATTGTTCTTCATTCTTTTGTGTAGATACAGGTTTCCATCTGGTATCATTTCCTTCTGCCTGAAGGTCTTATAGTGCAGTTCTGCTGGTGATGAATTCATTCAGCTTTTGTATGTCTGAAAAAGTCTGTGTTTTGCCCTCATCTTTGAAAGTTCTTTTCCCTAAATTCTAGGTACTTTACTGCAGTATTTCTGATGAAATATCTGCTGTCATTTTATCTTTTTTCCTTTGTACATGATTGTTTTTATTTCTCCTTCCAGCTGTTTTTATGATTTTTCTCTTTATTCTGTTTTTAAGCAATTTGATTATGATATGCCTTGGTGTCATTTTATTCATGTTTCTTGTGCCCAGGGTTCATTGAGTTTCATCAAATTTGGGAAAAATTGGCCATTATTTCTTCAAATATTCTTTCTGTCACCATCTGCCTCCTCTTCTTCAAGAACTTGAATTACACTATAGTAACCACTTGAAGTTGTCCCACAGCTCAGTGGGTCTCTGGATTTTTGCTTTTTGTTTTTGTTTTTCAGTCATTTTGTCTCTGTGTGTTTCATTTTGGATAGTTTCTGTAGCTGTATCTTCAGATTCATTAAACTTTGTATGCAGTGTCTAATCTGCTGTTAATTTTGTCCAGTGTATTTTTCATCTCAGACACTGTAGTTCATCTGTAGAGGTTCAGCTTGGATCTTTTTTATAGCTTCCATATCTCTAACATGTTCAGTCTTTCCTCTAGCTTCCTGAACATATAGAATGAGCTTGTTGTAATAGCTTTTTTAATATCTTTACTTATCAATTCTCTCATCTACATCATTTTGGGGTTGGTTTGGATTGATTGATTTTTCATTATGTTATATTTTTCTCATTATTTGCATACCTGGTAATTTTTTACTGGGTGCCAGAAATGTGGATTTTACCTTGTTTGTATTCCTATAAATATTCTTGAACTTAGTACTGGGAAATGGTTAAGTTACTTAGAAGCCATTTGATCCTTTTAGCTCTTGCTTTTAAGCTTTGTTTGGCAAGACCAGAAGAGCATTTAGTCTAGAGTTAATTTTGCCCCACAGCTGAGGGAAAACCTTTCTAGTATGCTACTCAATGCTACGTGAATCATAAGTTCTTTTGAGTTCAGTCACTCTGTCTGGTGGGATCAAGGCCTATTCCCAGCCCTGTGTGATCTTTGGAAATTATTCCATGTCATCTTTTTCAAGTGATTATTTCCCTTGCTTAGGGTAGTTTCCTAATATGCTTAAGCTGATCAGCACTGAGCTGAGAACTTTAGGGGGCCCTCTGCAGATCTCCAGAACTTTCTCTCTGTGCAGCTCTCTCTCCTTTTATAGTCTACCCTGTGAATTCCAGTTGCCTTGGAAATGTAGACTTCCAGCTGCATCCTCTCAACTCTGGGAGCCTGCCATGCTCTGCCTGGGTTCCCTGTCCCTGCACTGAAGCCTGGAAATTCTCTCTAGGCAGTAGGCTAGTGAGTTGTAGAACTCACCTCATTTGTTTCCCATCTCTGAGGGACTACTGTCCTTCATTGCCTTTTATCCACTGTCTTGAGTGCCTTTGTTTCACATAATTTGTTGGTTTTTTTAGTTGTTTCAGGTTGAAGGATAAATTTCATCCCTATTACTGAATCTTGACTGGAAGTAGAAGTCTATTACTAACCTTTTTTTTCCTTTTGCTACTTAACTTTTTATTGAAGTACCATATATAAATATATACATAGAAAAGTGTACAAATCAATGAATTTTCATAAACTGAGCATACCCATGTAACTACCACCCAGAACAAGAAACCAGAGGTCCTCCTTATGCTCTCTTACAGTCACTGCCACCCCCACAAGGGAAGCCACTCTCCTGACTTCTAAAACACGGTAGACTGCTAGGCTTTTAATTTCCGCTGTCCTCCTGTTACTTTCCTGTCAACGAAAGTGTTTTTCCTTGAATATTTTGGTCTTCAAGTTAAACAACTAGCTTGTAATTTGGTCTTATATTATCTTTAATAGATGAATGATCCAGCACTAAGACACACAGGCCTCTACTGCAACCAGCTCTCATCCACTGACCTTCTCAAAACAGAAACAGATGGAACCCAGGTCAGTAAGAAAATTCTAAGCCCAGAACTGTCAAATGCACCCTAGATACACAGGAGACTTTCTGTAGTATCTGACCTTGAGAGTCAGACCTGGGTGTGAGTTCTGGCTCTACCCTTCAGAGTTGTGTCATTATGGGCCTGTTACCGAACTTGCCTGAGCTGCTGTGTAACCAACAGAACTAACAAGGTGCTGGCCTGTGGGATTGTTGAGAGGGTTAGATAAGACAGGCCTTCAGAAGGTTCAACCTAGCGCTTAGACAGGGTAAAGGGGTGGCAAATGGTGGCCACTAATTGTCATTTTGTAAGAGAGTAAGTTCAGACGGAAGAGTGTCTGCTGTGTACTCTGCCTCCTGATAGATGTTTGTCCCAAAACTGTACAAATAGCAAGAGTGGCCACTTTCCTTATATTAAATTAACCTAATGTAGAAATTTTGGAGGTTTTAATTCACGTTAGTAATTTACTCTCTAGCCTCCTAATATACATATATATTTTTTTAACATAGGCATTATGCTAATGATGAGAAATAAAAAAAATATGTTCCTTGCCCTTTAGGTGAACTGTGGAGAGAAGCGAGGAAAGGAAGTATCAGTTGTGAAATGCTGATGATTTGCCAGGCACTGTGCTAGGCACTATATGGTTTAATCTCATTTGAGCCTCACTATAACCCTATGAGGGAGGTTGTATTCCTTTTTTTCACAGATGAAGAAACTGAACCTGAGGAGGTTTAACTGTATGCACATTTCACAAAACTAGAAAGTGACAGAGCTTAGGTTCAAACCCAGGTCTTTCTAACACCAAAGCCCATGCTCTTTCTGCCATACCACATAAGGCCTATTGAAAGATAAAACACATAGACATGTGCACATAAATTGTCACATGGCCAAAGTAGGCAAAGTCAAATTTATGTTCCAAGTAAGAAGGGACGTATGCATTCAAGGAGGGGAGAAATTGCCAAGATGATCAGAAGAGCATTACACAAGAGATAGAACTGAGCTGGGCCTTGAAGGACAGTTACAAAGGCAAAGTGAAGAACAGTATTGTGGTTGTTGGAGGCTGGTGCAGGGGGTGAATTTGGAAGTATAGGTGATTGGAAGTAGAGGGCAAGAGACAGGGAAATAGTAATGTCCTAGCATAGTCCTGAGAAACTAAATCCACTGAAGTTTAAAGGGTTTGTAATAAGAACGTATAGGAATTAGAGTTGGTAAGGTAGATTGGAGGCAGATTTCCAAGAGCCTTGATGCTAAACTAAGGGATTTGGATTCGGTTCTACAGGTGAAGAGTCATCACTGAGCAATGATAAAGTGCTGGTTTAGGCTTCATCTTGGGGAGGAAGGGAGGAACACTGGGCAGCCAGCTCAGGAAGAGAAAGATCAGTTAGGAGGCGATGTCCACAGTGTGAGCATTAGGTAATGGGATCTGAGTCCCAGGAGGGGAAGAGAGGGATTTTTGTCATGGCAGTGTTGTGTCTGATGAATTAGATCTCTAGTAATATTACCATTGTTTCTCTCCTCATTATCACACCTGCGGACACATATCCTTGGCAGCTTGACAAGTTAGTTAAAGTAAAACAACCAAGTTTTAAAGTCCCTGAACCTTGGGGGCAGTATTTGAATTGAAGTAAAAACTATGCTGGAGAATCTTAAGAGGTTGGTCCTCAGCCCTCACACCATTCTTCTCACCTGGCACATCACAAACTCCTTTTGTGTCACATTCTGCTTATCTGTAAAGATGTGGCAATGTAAGAAGTCTCTTGAGATCTGGTCTAAGTCACAGCATGTCTCCTTTCTCAGAAATGGTTCAAAATGGTCGAAATATGTACTTTGTAGGGTTGGGTTTGATCTTTTCAATTCTTTTTATTTAAAAAATAGAATACCTTAAAAAATCATTCTTTTTAAAGAAGCAGAATTTTCTCCAGTTTGTTTTACCATGCCTTTATCAAGACTCTTTTTAAGTATTTGGGGACACCTTGTGCTCTGCTTAGATTTTTATATGTTGAAATATGTAAGCATATGAAATTTTATAGGTTGTTCTTTTTAAAAAAAAATCTGTTAGTGCCTAAAAGCACTATAGTTTGTGCTCATGTTAAGTGTCAGTGGCAGAATCTTCTTTTTGAAATCACTGTTTGCTTCATTGTTTGTGTGTGTGCCAAGCAGAAGCTGAGGCATGAGTTAGACAGAAATATAGAAACAGATATACAGAAAAGGAGGAGAAAAAGAACAGAGAGAGAAGGACTGGCAGGTGCTTGGGAGTTACCTGTATTTGGAGGACTGGGGTGGAGAGGAGGCAAGACAGAAGAGGGCACAGGAAAGACGCAGAGACTAGAGAGCTGGTAGGGGGGATTGTTGACATGGGGAGAAAGGAAGGCCCGGGGTAAAGCTCTAGAAGGAAAGAGTAGGAATGAGGAGTTACAGAGCACAAAGTTGAGGGCAGGGCACAGAGGCAGCTAGAGAATAGACTTAGACAGGAGAGTTGGTGTATTTTAGTTGCACTAGAAAGACCCCAAAAGAAGAGGAAAACAAATGGGAGCATATGGGGCAAGGAGCAAAGTTTGGGGAACTGGAGAAAGCGGAGGATGAGGAGGGAAACAAATGGAAATATTACTAGAGATCTAATTCATCAGACACTAAAAAAGAGCTCAATTTAGGAGATATTTGCTTGATCTGAGAGGGAATAGAGTGGAGGAGATGTAAAGAGATTGCAAGGAGAGGAGACGGGGCTTAGACTGATGTAGAAATTTGATGGTGGAAACATTTGGCATTTGGTCAATGACGGTTAGTGGAAACAATTTTATTAGACTGGGATAGAAAAGTTTTTGGAATAGCTGAGTGTAATTGGCATGGATTAATGATAAACGACCAAAAAAATTTATCACTAATCTAAAATACCTCATGGGTCTGTTAAAGATGAGGCACAAATTGACCAAAAGGTTAAGACACTTACGTAGAAATCCAAACGAAGGCATCTCCATACCTGGTCTGGAACATTCACAAGAGCGGTACTGGCTTTAATCAGCCCTACAAACGGCCTTTTAATAAAACTGGTTGGTAAAACATTAACTTCTGGCTTTGTTTTTTCGGTAGAAAATGCTAGAACTAGCAGATTTAGACATTTTTAAGGAACATGGGTATTATTACTAAAAATAGTTAAAGGGAAAATTCACACTGTTCTCAGCTAGTAGATTTATTGTTATTTTAGATCATGTGTTTAAATGGATTGTCTATCAGGAAAAAAGATGTCAGATATAAAATCGTTCTATAGATATTTTGCTGTAATTCTAAAGCCAGTATGTAAAGGAGCTATGTAATAATATATTTAGATAACACACAAATCTTCTGGACATTGACCTTAGTAATGCTGTTGTCCTATTATTGAGTTGTGGTGGTTTTTGCTAATACTGGGTTAAAGCCCTTAATTTTTCAGTGACAGCGTAAAGATTTTTTATTCTACTAAAGTCATCCATAGACTGCTTTTAAGCCAGTTTTCCAAACAATATACATGTTTTTAAACCCACCACTGGATACCCAGTCTCTGAAACTGGGCTTTTCCCAATCTTGGCAATATTAGCAATGATGTTCACTTTCAGTATTGATGGCAACCCTGTAGGAGGCTTGACCATTCCAATTTTTATTTTATTTTTAAAGTGTGAACTTTCCAGAACCCTGAGCAAAATGAGTGCAGCGATTTTCTTTTTGTAGGACAAGAAGACAGAAGAGTTCTTCTCTGTGGTGACTACAGACTAGAGGAATGCTCTAGTGAGTTTCCACTTCAAGTAGTACCCACTCATAAGCCGGGGGGGCAGACCCTTCTGTCTAAACACATCTTTTATTTGTGTTCCAGCAGGTGCAACAGGTTCAGGTGTTTGCTGACGTCCAGTGTACAGTGAATCTGGTAGGCGGGGACCCTTACCTGAACCAGCCTGGTCCGCTGGGAACTCAAAAACCCACATCAGGACCACAGACCCCCCAGGCCCAGCAGAAGAGCCTCCTTCAGCAGCTACTGACTGAATAACCACTTTTAAAGGAATGTGAAATTTAAATAATAGACATACAGAGATATACAAATATATTATATATTTTTCTGAGATTTTTGATATCTCAATCTGCAGCCATTCTTCGGGTCGTAGCATTTGGAGCAAAAAATAAAAATTAAAAAAAAAGAGTTCACTTTTGTTGGGAGATTGAGAGATGTTTTTGTTTGCTTCTTTGTAAAGGCCTTGGATATTGAAGAAAATAACAAGGCAGAACAGTTGGACAATCTATATCTTGAGCCAAAATTGCATTATTCTTATTTTTATAATCAGTCATTGGCTTCTTATCTGAATGAAGGCCTTTGGAGGAGAACCAAAATGACAAGTTCCAAGGCGAAGATGAAGCTCCACCTCCGTTGGCTCAGCCCCGACCCTGCTGAGGAAGAAGGGCCTGGTGGGGCTTTGCCTGTGCCCTCCATTCGCCAAAGGCTATCATGTTTCTCTAAGTCAACAGCCCTCCCCTATCCCTACCCCAGGCAGCTTGTGTGTACAATCAGCTTCTTCTAGCAACTTTATATCTGTTGGCTTCAAGAGAATATTTTGCCTCCACATACGTACCCCTTCTCCTTTTTTTAAGATGGATTTAAACCACAATGTCTCCAAGAAAGAGGAAGAAATGAGTATATTCACAGAGGAATCCAAAAAATACAGTTTGGGGGAAATGCAATAATTTTTTGATGAGATGGGTGAAGGACAAGAAGCGAGTTCTGTCAGTTATTGTAGATACAATGTTCTGATTAAATCTGGAAAAAAAGGCAGCCTGTTTTCTGCTTTTATTGTATTAACAGCTAAGGTAGCTAAAGTTATTTAAAATAAAATTAAATTTATGACCCAAGTAGCTTATTTTTCCCTTTAAATCTCACTGTAAATATATTTGATTTCTTGTAGAAATTGATTTCCTTCTGTTTAATTTTATGCTTTTATTATCATACTCTTGATTTTTCTAAATTTGTGTGTGAAATATAACATTGATTGAATTGCAGTTACTTTTGGCTAATAATATTTCATTATTTTAATAACTGTGATGCCAAGTATGGGTTTACTTTGGGGTTTAAATCCAAATGCCACTGCCAGAAAGAGCTGTCGCAGATGAGCTAGAGCATACTGCCCTAGAGTGTCCCTGGGACCAGCTAATTTGAAAGCAGTGCAAGGAATTGTCACCAGAAGTGCACAGGCTACTTGTACAGAGAGAAAATAGTGCTCAAAGGAAATCTTCGTTTTTTAGATTGACTTTGGGAGTTTGAGTTTTCATCAGTGCAAGTATCAGTTTCTCCGTCCTGCTCTGAGGCTATTTGGCACCATATTTCCCTTTGTGCCTTGTCACTCTGCCACGTCCTGTCTCATCCTGACCTCTGAGTCAAGGACCCAGTGAACTGACTCTCTAGTTCTAGAAGTTACACTGCAAGGCCAGGAAAGCTTGAGAAAGGCATTGTGGAAGAAGCAAAGGTAGCACCCCATCACTCACCTTAAACTGCACCCCTGGGCCCGTGAATGATGATGACATCTGACATTCTGCACCAGCTACTTCTGCTTCCATGGCAGAGAAAAGGCCATAAGAACTAACCATGGAAGAGGAGCATGGACTCAGACTTCAAGGAAGAAGCCATTTTCCCAGGTCCTCCTTTTCTGCATCTCACTATCCTTAGTTACAGATAACTCCATTGAACAGCATCTATTCAGAAACTAAACTGAATAAAAAGATTTGGTGGAAGGGCTCAAATGGGTAGCGACTATGAAACAAATAGGACACTCAGTTAAAAACATTATCTCTTTTAGTTTTTCAGAAAATGCATCCCTGGTTTCATTCACTTCCAGCTTGACTGCCCAGCCATATTACTCTAGTCCCTACCAGACTGCTATAGCAGGTCATTTCCATTTTGTTTGTGATATTTAGATGTGCAAACTTCAGGAAGTTCACCTTTAACTTCAGCATTCCAGATGAAGTTTCCTGACTCAGTGCTTTTGCAAAAGGAACTAGAAAAAAAAGTGGTAAGGAAAATTGGAGATGCTAACATCCTTCCCCATCCCAACTGCACCTTAAAGTATGCATGTCACCTTCCAAGTTTTATAATTGCACTGTTTGTTTTATGTATGTACAGATTAAAATTATTGCTACATTTGAGGAAAATAAAATTGCTTGCTTCTATGTAATTCCTGTCATTCCACAGGAAATTCACTTTTCCACCTACTGAATAGAATTTATCTAACAACCTGCAGGTTGCCTCTTCATTTACAGGGAAGAAATGAAACTCAAAATCCTACAGGAATTGCTGAAGCCAAAGATTCTCAAAATCACTGTAATATGAACCAGCCCAGTGAAACTGGAGAACATCAAAGTGAAGTTGTGTTAGTGGGCCTTGAGGAAATTCTAGCTTTGGCCATTTGCCTAATGATTAAACACCTTGACCCTGCTGTTTCTTGATCCAAGAGATCTGGTGCAAGCAGCGCTTCACGGGCAACCTAAGTTCTTAGACAATCCTAGAGCCACAAGATACCATATCTCCCTCAATTACTGGTTTTTATATATTAACACTTATCAATACAGATTTCAGTCTAACTTGAAGAGGCTCCTTCAGTGTGACAATGCGGTTTATAAAAATTAGGCCCTATCTCTTGTTAGTGTGTTTTAAGGCAGCCTAAATTCACCAACACTTGAGTAAATAGGGCCAGGATAAAATGGGTAAGCAAATGTGATTGTAGAGAACAGAAAAAAAAAAAAAGTTGCCATCAAGTCCATCCCAACTCATGGCAATCCCATGTGTGTCAGAGTAGAACTGTGTTCCGTAGGGTTTTCAGTGACTGATTTTTCAGGAATAGATCAGGGTTTCTTCAGAGGACCCTCTGGGTGGACTTGAATCTCCATCCTTTCAGTTAACAGCAACCGAGCACTTCATCATTTGCACTCTCAAGGACTCAAGAGGGCAGGGGAGGGTGTATTTCCCTCATACATTCCTATACATAAATACAGATTTGGTAGCTGTCATCTGAAATCATAGAGAAACAAAACCTTTTTCCCCGCAGTTGAAATAAAGTAAAAATGATACTTTCGGTTGGGAATTTATCCTCAGGTAGGAGTGGGCCATTAGGAAAACATAGTAACAGTTGAGGAAAAAGTGAGATTGGAATAGAGAAACTTCATTTTCTTTATGGTTTAGCCTAAGATAGGTTCAGTATCTAAAGAAGATCTTAGAACCTGTCTCCTAGACCCTGACAAAGAGAAAGGACAGTTGTCTGCTTAGAAAGGAAGTTGTGCTGATTTCCTTGTCTACGTTAGCGGCTCTTCCCAGAAGAGCCACTCCACCTGAATAAAGTGAATAATTCAGAGCAAGCTTGGTCCTTGGCCATTCCTGTACTTCTGAAGAAGATCATGATGATTTAATTAAGCCCATCAATTCTTTTTATTGGAGAGAACTGTCAAAAGCAGCATTCCTTCATTCAGCACCCTTTCTGCCAAGGCTAAATTAGTTTTCTTTATATATTTTATTTTCATTGCCATCAGAGCTCTTAACAGGATTAAAAAATATAAAACTCTGGCCTCATTTATTCATTCAATACATTTTATTGTCTTTATCCAAGGCACTAGGGATACGGAAGGATCCAGACAGGCATGGACCCCGCCTTCCTGGAGTTTATAGTCACATTGGGGGGCTTTCATAGTTACAATCACAATTGGATTAAGTGGTACAGGGGAGGGTTATAAGTTGCTTTGTGAGTGAGACATTGTCTGAAGAGTCAAAGGAAGTTTCCTTGAGAAAGAAATGACATTTGAAGTGAGTTTTACAGGAGGATGAGGAAGAAACCCAGCGAAGAGCAGAGGGAGGAGAGGTCTTCTGAGAGGCATGTGTGAAGGCCTGGAACCAGGAAAGAGCCCCAGAGAGCTGGGTTTTTAAACTGTTAACCAATTAAGTAATGAGCTCTCATAAACACATTATTAGGAGTATGTCAGCAGGTGAACTGAAAGTAGTTTAAATCAGCCTTTGGCTCCAGAAGGAACATAAACTAGGCTTTGGGATTTCATTTGGGAATTACGCTAGCCAATAGCTAAGTTCTCTTCTGTAGCTAGCCTTTTCCAACCAAAAGTACACGCTTCTATGCCTTCTACACAACAGTCTCTTGTAGCTGGTGACGATATTGAAAACATTCAGGGAAAAATAACCGTACTGCAACAATTTCCAAAGTGCTTTTAGGTACATCATCTCATTTAATCTTTGCAGTCCTTTGAGCGAGTAGTTGTAAAGAGAAAACAAGCTCTAAAAGGCTGACACAGACATTACTTTTTATCGGTGGAGTTGGAACTTAAAACCGAGTCTTCTCATTCCTTCTAGACTATGATTTAGGACTGATTTCAGATCTGCAGATTTTAATCTCATTGTGTAACCTTAGGCAATGCTTTCTTAGATGACATAATTAAAAAATAGGCTTTGCAAAGAGGTGAGAAGAGAGCTGTCCCCTTCTCTGCAGTCAGCCTACCCAAAGGAGGCCTCAGCTAAATGGGGGTGATCTTGGTCAGCAGGGTGTCCCATTACAGTTTTGGGAGAAATATTCTATCCCTGCATATCTAAACAGAGTGAAGAAGAGGTTTCATGAAATTATACTGTCATCCCCTTAGCTTAAAAGAATTTTTGAAAATGTGGATTCCTTGTTGTGGGACAAGTATAAAAATGGTGACAGGATCATTTTTGTGAGAGCAACTGTAGACACCTACAATTCCTCCTAGGAAATCTGGCTTCTTTAATCAGACCTTGGAACCACTCACTTTTCTCTGGCTCGTGATCCTTCTGCAGACAAAGAATCTCCTGTGCTGGAGCTTGGCTCTGGTTTAATCGTTTGTGCTTTGGTAGTCTGTGCAACCAGCAGAAGCAAGCAACGCCCACAGGTATCCACAGTAAAGCTAATACACTGTGTAGAGAAAAAGAAGAATTACAATGTTTTAAGGAATAAGTTTTATCTAGGTCCCCCCACTCAAATGTCCAGGGATTACAGAATAGAGCAAAAAACCCTAGGCTGGGGTTTTGATCTTCATTTAGTTATTGCATTTTTTATGAGCTGTTGCAGTGCAGACCCTGATAAGCACAGTGGGTGGGAAGTACAAAGATACTTGGCTGAAGCTGTTTTCTTCCTCATAATAGGGATTCTAAATCATTCAGTTAAGAATATTTTTCATTTCTACTCTGCCAGGCAATGGCTTGGCTAATGTCCACTCTTATAATTGCCTACATTTATACAGCACTTTGATAAACAGTCTCATTTGGTCTTCATAATCCAGTAAAGCAGAGTAAGACATAGCCCCATTGATGGTGAAACTGAAGCTCGGATTTTATGGTCAGGTGGCTAGGAAGTAGGCCCAGGAGTCAATCCTTGGTCTTTGGGATGAAATCCACTATTTTTTCCACTGCACAATACAACTATTAGAAAAGCACCATTAGACAATGATACATAATGACTATGGAGAGCTTCAGGAGTTTAAAATTGTTCTCTAGGACTCAAATTCCTTAGAAGCTTGCTAAGATTTCCATTCTGAAAGTAAAATTGGGCACTAATTTTGAATTTATTAAATTACTGATGTTTTTCATATTTTAAGTTTGTGTAAGGGGAATATTTCTGAAGCAGACCCCCGTACTCTCTATGAACAATTTCATTTTGTCCCTTAAACTCAGTACCACTTGGATGTATATGCATCTTAAATCCATTCCTCCAGCCAAGATCTCAAGATCTGAATTCCCAACTGGTGAACATTACCACATGGATTCCCCGTCAGCACCTCAAACTTAAGTCCTAAACCACATAACTTACTTCCCCACAAATAAGCTCTTGTGTCCTTTATCTGGATTAGTTGCATCATCATTCTGTTAGTGGTCATTTTCAACAACCCTCCCACTTATTTCAGCGAATTCCAAGAAGTTATCCTCTCCAGTGAATCTTGGCTATCTTCTCCTTTCTAGCTCTATTAATCAACAGCTTAATTCAGGACATCATTATCTTCATTTGGATGATTACGGTAACACCTCATGCCTATTACATTCACTTTTCACAATCAGAAAAATCTTTCTAAGCACAGTCTTCAGAATCTATTAGGTACTACTACTTGCTACTAGCTTAGTAGCATGATCTGAAGTCAACCTACCTTTTAAGCTTCATTACCCTGTACAACCCTCTCTAAACAAAATGATTCTGCCACATTAATCTGGTCTTTATTCTTGAATTTACTATGTTCACGGTACATTGCCATACTCAATTTCCTCCCTAACATAACTTGGAACTCTTGGAGATGTTTCACCAAAGAGTCTGGATTGTTAATGGAAATTACAAACATGTCCAAGAGTTCAAGTCAAGGTTATGATTTTATCTTGATGATTGTTCCTTTTTCCATGAAATATGAGTGAATGCAGGTCCTTTTCACTAGAAGTTATTGAAAGTCTTAGAATATAGGAACCTCTACATATTTGGAGAGTTTGCAGAACATTAAAGCAGTTATTATTAATACTTCATCAAATTCTCAAGCTTTATATTTGTATATAATATCCTGTGGAACCTTTTACACTTCTCAGAAATTACCTCCTCACTGAAAATCAGCTGATTGGGTTGACTGCAGTTTTAATTGAGAAAATAGAAAAGGCAGGTCAGGAGAGACAACCGCTTCTAGTTTTTCTCTCCAAATGAGCATGTACAATGCCCTACTATCTCTTCCACCTATAAATAATGATTCATGTTGAAATCAAATAAGAATAAAATGATTCTTTGTGAAATTTCTATTAGATTGGCCTTTAAAACCAGTGCCTCTGGAAGCTGAGTGACTTAACTCAGGAAGTGGATGGATGGGACAGGTCAATGAACAGGAAGACCTTCCTCTAACAAGAACAAGTGTCCTACCTGGAATTAATTTCCCTGTACCTGTAGAGCCAGTCCTGTTCAGTTCTGCTTTGTTTTAAATCTAAAGTAATTTATCATACACCTGTCTGAACTAAATTTTAGACTGC